CTTAAGTACCTAAATAACCTATTGACTGTGAGAGTGGTAAAAAATTTCCACTACAATAAAAATTATAATAATTTGGTAAAATGGACTTCAATTTTGTCCTGCCCACAGTTGTCAATCAGTCAATGAATTTAAGATTTTTAATTTACTAGCCTAAATTCCAGTTTTGAATTTATTCTACTATATATTTAACTAAATTTTCTTAAAATTTTCACTGGCTAGTGCTAAATTTGATGACTGGTCAAGTAGAGGGTTTTCACAAATAAGATAATTTAGAATAAAAACTTTATTTAAAGTCTTGTAAAAACAAGTTTTTGATCATTCTTTTTTGTAAAAGTTCTATATCTTTAATATGTATTTGGTAGAAAATAAAATAGCCAAACATATTTCAGATCCATGCAACTGAAAATGATAATTAGTAAATACTTATTGCCTGAATTTTTTTTATCTCAAGCCCCAGCTAATCTATTTTTCCCCCAAACTAAGTTGGTTTCATTGCTTATCAGGAATTTTTAACATTTAAAATATTTAAAACAAGAGGGCCATGATGGCCCTGAGTCGCTCACCAGAAACAACTGCTTTTGAGTGTTAGAATGTCAATACATGTATATTCTAATATTAAATTTGAGCATAGAATATGTTTAAACAATAATTTGAAAAATGCAATGACCTGGGGTATTTAAGCTTTAGCTTAAACCAAGCTAATCAAATTAATATGAGCAAACTTAATAAAAGACTACCTAAGAATGCTACAAAGTTTGGTGATCATCTTTCAATTATTTCAGTAGGAAATGATGTTCGAAGTTTTTTTTTCAATTTTTAGCTTTAGTGGCCCCTAAATAGGCTAATCAAATAATTTAAATATAAGCAAACTTGATAAAAAAGTACCCAAGAATGCTACAGACAAAGTTTGGTGATCAAGTTTGGTGATCATCCATCAATTGGTTCTATAGTAGAAGATGTTTAAAGGTTTTTCTATTTTTAGCTTTAGCGGACCCTAAAAGTGGCCAATCTAATGAATATGAGCAAACTTGATAAAACATTACCCAAAAATGCTACAGAGTTTGGTGATCATCTATTAATTAGTTCTGTAGGAGAAGATGTTTAAACGTATTTCTATTTTTAATTTTAGTGGCCCCTAAAAGGGGCTAATCAAATTAATATGAGCAAACTTAATAAAAGACAACCCAATAATGCTACAAAGTTTGGTGATCATCTATCAATTAGTACTGTAGCAATAAATGTTCAAATGTATATCTTTTTTTAATTTTAGCGGCCCCTAAAAGGGGCTAATCAAATTAATATGAGCAAACTTGATAAAAGACTACCAAAGAATGCTACAGACAAAGTTTGGTGACCATCCATCAATCAGTTCTCTACAAATAGACATTTAAAGGTATTTTTATTTTTAGCTTTTGCAGCCCCTAAAAGGAGCCAATCAAATTAATATGAGCAAACTTGAAAAAACACTACCCGAGCATGCTACCTACTAAGTTTGGTGATCATCCATCAATTAGTTCTATAGGAAAAAATGTTTAAAGGTTTTTCTATTTTTAGGCCAAGAGACCCCTAAAAGGGGCCAATCAAAATAATATTAGCAAATTTCATAAAAGACTACCCAAGAATACTACAGACAAAGTTTGACGATCATCCATCCATTAGTTCTCTAGAAATAGACATTTAATGGTATTTCTATTTTAAGCTTTAGCGGCCCCTAAAAGGGGCCAATCAAATTAATATGAGCAAACTTGATAAAAGACTACCCAAGAATGCTACAAACAAAATTTGGTGATCAGCCATCAATTAGTTCTGTAGGAGAAGATGTTTAAAGGTTTTTCTATTTTTAGTCCTAGAGACCCCTAAAAGGGGCCAATTAAATTAATATGAGCAAACTTGATAAAAAGACTACCAAAGAATGCTACAGACAAAGTTTGGTGATCATCCATCCATTAGTTCTGTAGAAGAAGATGTTTAAAGGTTTTTCTATTTTTAGCTCTGCTGACCCCTAAACGGGGCCAATCAAATTAATATGAGCAAACCTGATAAAACACTACCCAAGAATGCTACAGACAAAGTTTGGTGATCATCCGTCCATTAGTTCTGTAGAAGAAGATGTTTAAAGGTTTTTCTATTTTTAGCTCTGCTGACCCCTAAAAGGGGCCAATTGGAATGACATGAGCAAATTCAAGTGTGACTGTCACAAGGATGCTACAGACCAAATTTGAAGTAAATCTGCCCAGTAGTTTCAGAGAAGAAGACGATTGTTGACGCATGACGACGGACGCCGAAGCATCCCCCTTTGATACTAATAGCTCACCCTGAGCCTTCGGCTCTGGTGAGCTAAAAAGTGCATAAGCCTAATACATGTACAATCAAAGTAAATATCAATAAAATAATTATTAATATCTTCAATATTTTGCTTTGTGAACAAAAAGGCCTATAATAAAAAGTCACAAAAACGATCATATACATTAAACTACACATACCCAAAAACCTGAATCTAACATCATCATAATAACATCTAACAATGATATTCATGACAAAAAACTCAGCCATGTTATCAATTCATCAAATATTTCTTCTCATACAGTAGTTAATTTGTTATATATGACACCATATAGACAATATAATGATTTATCTACATTCCACAAATAGCACTATACCTCACACCATGCCATTCATAAGAATACCTTCAATATTATCACAGTTTTGATTACCTTTACTGCCTTACAAAAATAACATAACACTGCCACTGATGTAACAAAGTACTACTTCCTATAACCCTTTTTGAACACCACCATAAACATGCAGCTTTGGCAGGAGACAAAGGTATTGTCACATGGGAACACTTATTTCAAGGTAAGGAAATATTTTACACTGGCAAACAAAACTGTATTATTTGTTACACCAAGACAGTATAGGTCATATGGCGACATTCCAGCTTTACTGGCAGAGGAAGATCTCAGGTGCCCTTCTGTGCATTATCTTAGGCACAAACGAGCACCTGAATAGAACCACTGACATTCCATTAACAACCTGAACCACTTGGCCACCGATGTCCCAAATTAAGAATCAAACAAATGTTACCGTGGGCAGTCCAAAGTACCACTGAGAAAGGCAGAGTTGGGTGTGGGGTTAGCAGCCCCATAGTTGCTAAAGAAACCAATACCATTGACAGACGGATCTACGGAATGAACCCTAGGAGCTCATGACACACAACGTTACTTAGATTGCAACTTGGAATGTGCAAACACTTTATGAGTTGACAGACTCCACAAGTAGCAAGGGAATTAGACAGATACAATCCGGATATTATCACGATGAATGAAGTGTGTTGAACAGGTTCAGGAAGACTGTACATTACTTGCTGTCAGTATTTTCTGTATTCTAGTCTTGCGGAGGGAAGTGCTTATGAAAGGGGAGTAGAATTTCTCATCAGCAAGAGGTCAAGCAAATGCCTTATGGAATGGGAGCTACCAGTTAGTGACAGAATTATTATGGCACGATTTTGGTCCAAGCTCCAGAAAGTGACTATGGTACAATGTGATGCTCCCAAGAACTAGGCAGATCAGGAAAAATAAAGGAGGAATTTTATCAATAGCTTCAGGGTGTGATTGATAATGTGTCAAGAAGAAACATTGTGTAAATGATAGGTGACATGAATGTAAAAGTGGAACAAGATAACTTAGGGAGGGATATAGTAATAGGTCAGGAAGGTGCTTGGCATCATAAATGAGAGAGGAGAACTGTATGTCAGTTTCTGTGGCGATGTGATTTTGTAAAAGAAAATGATCTTCAAGCTGAGAAAATTCACTAGGCTAAATGGATTTCTCCTGACATGGCTACAGAAAACCAGACTGACCATGTTCCTACATCAAAGAAATGGAGAACATCATTGCAAGATGTGAGAGTTTTTAGAGGAGCAGGCATTGGAATAGGTTACTACATGATCCTGGCCAAGTTCAAGGTCAAGTTTTATAATTTAATACCCCAGACCTAATGGACAATCAAAAACTCCCTTTCAACTTTGTTGTTTTACTAGATTTAAGCCTTTTTAAATTCCTTTTTATCATAGTACATTGTATAAACCTATAATTTGAGAATTATTTTTACATTTTGTCAAATTTCAAAGCGGTCATTTGGCAATTATCAAGCTTTTGAGAAGCAGATAAAGATTATGTGCCTCTTTTTTGCATCATTTCAGGAGGTAATTAAGTCCAAGGTAAAAAATACCTTTTCTTAGCTCAAATTCTTAGGTATTTGATTGGTCAGAAACCTGCAAAGATTGTGTAGTGACCAATGAAAATCCTTAGACTGAGAAGAAAGTGTTATAAACCTGATGCCTTAAGTCTAGAACCTTAGAAAAACCAACAATATGCAAAACATGATAGAATCTACACATGGTTGGACTCATAATTCCTATTTGCATATAATCTCATAATAATAAACCCACTGCAGAAAACAGGAAAGTGATTACAAATCAGAGAACTTTACCACTAGTACATACAAGTACCTGTAAATTAACTAAATAACTAACTTCTTTCTCCCCCTCTGGGCCTGCATGTTGCAGAGAAGCACAGGGCGACGGAAGATTTGCAGCTTGGTGGATCGACAGCTTTAAACTAAAACACCCATACTTTGGTACACCATCTACCTTGTTTACAACTGGAAAACAGTTGTCAATGTCTTGACTTAAGTTGAAGGGTGTGCCATACAAAGCAGGCAGAGACAACAAGGAAAGTATGCCAGTGTGCGTGAGCCCCTTAACTAAAGAAGGGCAGCTTGAAAGGCAGACCCTTTACTTGGCACCAACAGCTGTTTTATTGGCTACCTCCTTTTCTAATATTGTCTCAAGTTACTGTACATTTAGGTTCTCATTGACCATGACCTACTTTCGGCCCAAAATTCTATCTTTGGCTAATACTCCATGGAAATTGCATGGAGGTAAATTAATGGACCCTCATTAAGTATAGAATACATACATACATACATAGTGAACTTACTTTTGTTTTTTCATTGCTTCAGTCGGGCCACTTGTATTACAGGTACATTTTACATTTGGATTATCGGTACAACAGTCAGGTTCATCCTCATACTGTATACCTAGATGTCTCCGCTTCTTTCCTTTACCCTAAAATATATATACATGTAATATACTACTTGCCAGAATCTTACTTTTAGAAATAAGCAATATTTTCAAGGCATAACATATTGAGCACAAATGGATAATTACACTGCATTCAACCAAGTTGTTACAGAAAATTGTGTCTATTCGTAAGGACCAAAACTTACAAATCCAAGGTCCAGTACCATTGCACTTGGTTCATGCTACAAAACCCTACATTTCCCGTTTTCCTGTCCTGAGCTTATAAGGCAGGCTCATGTTAAAAAGATTATCTTGCAGGGCCTTTTCACTAGTTTTGGGGAAGGCGCCCTAGCCCTTTTTGTGGGGAAAAAATGCGCGATTTTCATACTTTTGGGGGAAAAAAATATATTTTCCACTGGCAGTTTAACCACTACGAGGGCTGTCCGGAAAGTTCGTAGACAAGGCTATAAAATTATTTTAAGCAGACATATCAATATGATGATTTAATACTTTACTTAAGTATTTATCTGCTACATATTTCTAAATTAAAAAACATGATAAAAGTAATATTCGCAAAGCGCCGATCACCATGGCAACATGATCAACGAACCACGGAGCACTTTGATTTCATGATGATAGCTACTCGAATAAAAAGTTGCTAAAAGATGTAATTTTAATGCAATCTCTCGTTTTAATTTTGTGACATCATAGGATAGTATAACATGATATTCAGTGTAAATTATGATGTCATACGTAAATAAACAGCTTGTTTACGGCGATTATAGGCAATGAAGGTGCGTACATTTTGTGTTGCAAAAATGACGTCAAATTAACGGACGGAGCAACGTAATGATATTTAACTTCATAGCAACGCTAATATGGCGCCATCTGAGATTATAATCTTTACCTTTAAAACAAAATTAACCATGAAATGTTAAAGGCAACTTGTGTTTAAATGAATAAATGTCAAACAAGATAAAGAAGCGGTGATGACAGGATATTGTATAAGAAACGCTCCAGAAGTGACCAAAAGTAGCATGGCTGAAATATCGTAGATTGCGTTACAACATTTTTTGAAAAAGGCAGACATCTTACACACAGTATGGGAACCAGTGAAATCTTTATTTTTAAATAATAATTTTAAATATGAAATGTATGAAGCAATAACATGTATTAAGTATACGTCAGACAGGTACCATGATGGCTTTTGAAATCGGAAGAAATTAAATAGTTGGTAAACATGAATTTAATTTGACGCCGTTGACGTTGTCAAAGTGCTCCATGATTATGTATATATGTTGTATGTAAATACTTTTAAAATACAAACGTTAGTCACAGTTCAGTAATTTTTGATAAATGTGTTCGCTAGATATGTATTTTTATGCTGACAAAATTTGTACAGTGTATGTATTGTTTTACAATAAAAAAATGAAGATGTATATGAACTTTCCGGACATCCCTCATATTACTATAAATAAAGATTTATTTAAATCATACATTTGGGGGAAATATCATAATATATTTGCATATTTATAAACACACTTTATTTTCGGAGCTTTCTGTCTAACATAAGTTAAACGGATTTTTTTACAGATCAGTTTATTGCCACTGTTTATTAGCCCAGAATACATTGACTCATATTTCCTAATTAAAGAAAATTTACGTAGGACATGTGAGGGTTCTTGATTTGATTCAGATGAACATTATTGTCAGTTTCCAACATATCACTTTTACTGGCACTGTTGTGCTAGACTCGCTATTTTTCCACACTTGGGCATGTTGTGCCACTTGGACACACAAACTTGCGAGTAGATACATGTATTGGATTCTCTTGCACTTACAGGAAGGTCAACAATTTGTCCAATTTTTCATTAACAATTACAAATGTCACTCAATCGTATTTTCTTCTTGTTTACATTTGCGACATAGTAAATAGGTCGCCGTATTGTCGTAAAAAAATCATGTGCATTAAAATAAGGCAGTGGGTTTTCCCATGTTGCAAACTCAGACCGAGGCAGCGAGTTAACATCAATTGTATTGAATCGAGGTATCCCTCTAGTGGGTAATTGAATAATTAGCTTTCATTGGACAAAAACAATGATCTATTTTTAAACAAGAAAATTTGTTTACAAGTTTTTTCTTCGATTTAACATTTCTCTGAAAGGGAAAATCTTCGCAAGAAGACTGTTTTTTGGGGAAAAAAGGTAGTAAGTTGGCTTTGGGAAGTAGCCGAATACCGGCTACAGCAAAGAAGGGTAAAAAGGCCCTGTCTAGCTAAAATATATTAAACAAATACCTTATAACATTAATATTGTTTGTTTTGTTTGGTTTTACGGCACACCTACACAATTTAGATCAAACAGGAAAAATGATTTTTGGCTACCTCAGGTGATAAAAATTTAAAGCAACACCAGGGGTCAAAACCCCCTCACCTGCTGGAGCTAAGAGATGCATAGACTCCTGTAATTCAAACCCATTTAGTTGCCTCTTACGATCACACAAGGATAAATGGTAGCTGCAGTTCTGATGCCTCAACCCTTAAGCCACAAAGGGTAACATTTTATATCAAAAGTAAAACTAGGGACTATACTGACATACCAAACCATTGCCTTCGATCTCAGAAAAAAAATCAAAAAATTTTTCAATGCTCTGAGATAAAAGTTTCAAAAACTTATTTCAGGACTTCAATTCTAAAGATAATATTCCATCATTAAAAGTTTGGCTGCTCTAAGCAAGTATGATCCCATTATTTGTTGATAACAAGTAACTTAGTCTTTGTTTACGACTCACCTGTCCTAGGATTGGTGTTCTTATCTTAGCTGAAGGTTTAAAATCATCATCATCATTATCATCATCTCCTTTTCCATTCACCTCCTCATCACCAACATCTATAACTTTGCCACCTTCGGCTGAAAAACAATGTTTTCCCAAATGTAAAATTTCATAAATTTAAACAATGACAATCTTTCAGTAAAAAGTATACTATTAACCCTTGATCAACTGAATTTGAGTAATGTAAAAATTTCGTCCTGGTTTTTGTAAAACAGGATGTATTATGGAAACACCCTGGCGGGCCGACGGATGAACACCTTCCAATTTTGTCAGGAGCATATCTCCTACACGCATAGAGAGATTTTTATGAAACTTCAAAGAAATGGTCACCACTATGAGAAGCCATGTCGCGCCATCTAAATCAATATCAAAATACAAATATTGAGCTAATAACAATATAGTCTAGTCATGTTTTAAAGAGATTCGGACTGTTGCACTTTAATAACAAGCTTTGTATGCATTCCTTTTAAACTCTAACATGCAGGGCTCTCGGAAACGCTTATTTGAGCGTATTTTTACGCATACTTTTTGCAAAAGGACGCTTAAAATATCCAATCGTCAGTCCCTTGTACGCATAAAAATTCCAAATCCGCGTGTCACTGCGTCCTTCTAATATGCAATACACAGCGGCTAATGTGTAAATTTTAAGGCGGGGCTTTACGCTTGTCAACTGCAATGCATCATCAGCCAATCAGGACGCAAGTTTTTCCAATAATCTAATTGATTGCAGCTGAGGTCGCGTGTTTATGATGTTTCGGCATGCGACAAACACGGCATAGTCAATCAGTGGAAATTGCGGTGTTGATTTTATTGACCGTTTGAAGTCATATGTGCTGATTCTTAATAATTGATTGTTTGACGGATAATTGACGGATAATTGATGGAGACTTGTGCATGCGTTTTTCACAGGTGTCTCGCGTAAAAGACTAATTAATGCTACTCGATTTTTAATTGCTTTTAATTATTTTAACAATGGATACGTTTACCGATATAAATGTTGGTCAACAGATCGTGGACATGTTATTTGACAGTAAATGTTTATTAAATAACTTTGGTGTTATAAATGATTGTGGATACTGTATAATTGGAAATTGGAAATTAAAAATGTCACAACAAACTTTGTTTCAATTTGTTGGGAAAAGGAAAAAACCTGATGATGTTTCCGAATGTGAAAATGAAATATCAGCCAAAAAGGCTAAAAAAGAAAGAAATTCCTGGAATGATGCCTGGAATAGGACTTTTCCGTGGTTGGAAAAAAGCACTAACAAAGATGGAAGTGTTTCAGCTTTATGTACGTGGTGTAAGGATTCTAAAAGAACCAACTCTATGGCTACAACTGGAACTCCAAACTTACAGAGTTCAACCTTCAGCAGACACGAAAAAACTAAGGACCACCTATTGGCAGCTGAGGCTCGTCAACACAAGAAACAAAATAAAATGATTAAGCAGGTAATATTTTAACCATAAAAAAGTACTTTCCCTTACATTAAATTCCTAATACAGTTTTATTTGACAAATGTAATTTATAAATACTATTTTTTATTCAGTTGTATTTGATGGAAATATACATACAATAATTAATCTATAAATTAGAACATGTATTATGTTTATATATTTCATAATATTGACGAGTTTTGTATGTTTATGATACTAATAAGTTTTATGTAATTGTAGGTGGTTGAGACTATTATTGATAATGAAAGTAGGGTTGAATGTGACGCAACCAAAGAAGCACAGATGAATACCATGTATTACATAGCCAAAGAAGGTCAACCACTGAGTCAGTACAACAAAGTTCTCAAATTACAAGTAAGTATTATTTCTTTTTGTCAAATGTTATAAGTACAGTGAGTAAGCCCAAAAAATGTAATGTTTTAATAATTTATTAATAAATGATGTTTCTAAAGAACTCGAATTTTTTATGTTTCTAAAATAACTTACCGCCAATTCAGTCTAAAAGGCATGATTGATTTAAATATAAATTTCTAAAGAATTGATGTTTTTAACATTACATGAAATATTAAGTTTTCACAATTACTTGAAATATTTCTTTTAAATAAGTTTCTCATGAACCCTAAAGAATTAACATATTTGCATATTTTAGATCAAGAACAAATGTCCAGATCTACAAGATTCATCAAAGCTTTACACCAGTGAAGAATCTAAAGCTGAGTTGTTAGATGCCATCAATTCAACACTTGAAGAAAAAATCAATCAAAATATTTCACAGTCAGACTTCATAGGACTCATTGTTGACGAAAGCACAGACATAACTGTGTTTAAGAAACTGAATGTGTATGTGAAATGTGTTGATACTAGTAATAAATCTGTCATTAATTTCCTTGACTGCATCAGTGTACCAGATGGAAAAGCAGAGACCATAGTAAGTGAAATTGTGAAGCTTTTCCAAAATAAGAACATTCCCATTTCAAAGTTGATAACATTAGCTAGTGACGGGGCTTCTGTGATGACTGGTAGACTCAATGGTGTTGGTGTAAGACTGAAACAGTTCTCCCCACATATGATTCAGATTCACTGTGTCGCACATAGGTTGGCTCTAGCTGCTGGACAGGCATGCAGGGATGTCCCTCTACTCAGTGAGTATCAGCAGACACTGAAACTTATTTACAAATTTTTCAATAATTCAGCAGTTAGATACAATGAGCTTCGTGCTATGTCACAGTTATTAGAAGATGAAGATATGTTGTATCTCACATTGAAAGAACCAGCAAGTTTCCTTGATAGACTAAGAGATTCAATGTAGAGAGTCTTTACAAATGTATATTGTTTGTATATATGTATATTATATCCAATTGACTTTTTTGGAAATGTGGAAACTGTGAATGTTACTATGTACTTTTGAATACTGGTTAGTTTTTTGAAATGTTGAAACTGTGTATATTTGAATACTGCTTTGACTGAACTTATAAGTATATGCAATAAAGTTTAGGGTTCTACTTTCATGTGTTGCAACATGCACTATGTACTGTGTATTTATTTATAAATGTATCTATGTAAATGCATTATATACCATATTTGTTGAAATGTTACAAAATTCAGTACTGTTTATGTAATTGTTTTAACATGATTTAACTTGTGTTTATAATAAAAGTTGATAAAATCTTTGTATTTCTTGATTATATGACATACTGCAGTATAGTTTGGTTGGTAGAGTTAGGACTCCACATTTGTTTCATGGGGACTCCTACTTTTTTCAGTTTGGGAGTCCTGGACTCCTACTTTAAAAATCCTAGTGAGAGCCCTGAACATGTCCAGAAAGAATGATTATCTGAGAAAAAACAACAGTTTTTTCTCCAATATGCTTAAAAAGATCAAACTATAACTTATGATTCATGCTGTACCTTTACTTGTGTAGCCAGGTTTGGACTCAGGTGAATATTCTGTAGATCTCCCAGCATCAGAGGCATGACACTGGCATGGTTTACTACAGCCAACTATATAATATAAATAACAAACACAATGATTACAAAATAATGTGCATACAAAATAATATACCTTTAAGGACACTGAGGTCAAAAAGACTAAAAATATAAAATTTGAAATTCTTACATAGGTCAAATGAAAAAAAAAATTATTTGGAATTAGAAAGAAATAAAAGAATATTGATTTTTTGTGCCATCTGAGTGAATATTGTTGCAATAGTTTTCATTTTTGCATCATTTTGCACATTTGTCAATAAAATTGATTATTCTGGTAAAACAGGTTGACAGAATGATCTGCAAATTGGCACAAAAGTTTTTTGGCCCAGTCCTACATCAAATGATACAAAAATCTCGGAAAAAAAATATATCTAGTCCCATCATGTCAAAAACCTCAGTGGAGTTCCTTCAACATGAAAAAAGAAACATAAGTTGAAATAGAACACTGTTTATATTTCAAAGACCAGCAGCTAGAATGTTTCTATACTGTGATATATGGAGTGTTTTTATTATCTTTTCTAGCATTGTATTATTAATACCTGATTCAGCATTCATATTTTCCTTGGTTATTTTCTCATTCTGTGCTACCTGCCAGGCCAATGCTGAACACAGGAGGGCTAGACTTTTACCACTTCCTGTCGGGCTCTCCAATAAACTGTTCTGTTTTCTCTCCAACCCCTTTATCACCTGCGAGTAAATTGAAAATGAAACAGGCTCATTTACTTACATGTTTATATGTGTGAAACATAACAATATGTCAATATGAGTAATTAACCTACATGTAGCTACATTAATAACTAGCAATTCAAGTGTAAAATAATATGTAAAAGATGCTCTAAAATCAATGCATAAAATCTATATTAGTGTTCATAAAGACAGCATTAATATATTTTTTTTTAAAGAAGACTTGCTGTATATCTATAACACATCTTTACATTTTATCAGTTCTTTACAAGTGAAAATCAGTACATTATATGTTAATGTATACTTAATTCATCAGCTTTAGTATCACATACATTGCGGTGTTTTTTTTATGGCTTTGGTATTTTTAAGATTATTATTAGCACTTATTTACTTTTTCTCTTCCCTTCTCAACCAAATTAAGTAACGAATTATGAGTAAAGAATTTCAGTACAATGTTTAACCTTCAAGAGAGGTAGAACCTTCACAAATAATTCAAATTACAATTTATGAAATAACTTACTCTATCCATCATACCAAACTGAGAGGGATAAGGTTTGCATGGAAACACCACCTTGACCCCACTGATGGTCAGTTTTCTTTCATCAGGGCTAGACATCTTTCTATAGTTAACTCATAAGGCAATATCAAACCTGTTAATTGTTAAAAAGTTTAAAAAATTATTCTGAATTAATTTGCACCCTTATCAACAAAGGCCTTTAAACTTTACCTACTTTACTGGCCAACAATCCATCAATAACTGATTTATTTTATATGGATTTGGACCATTTGCCAGACTGAATCATGTACCAGAACATTTTTTTCTTTTTCAGCGTGTCAAATTTTATTTAGTCATATTCATAAAGTTCCCTTGTGACACACACAATCCTTATAAGAGACTGTTGTGTACAATTGGTAGTTTTCTATTCTTTCCAATTTTGTTATCAGTTTTATTGATATTAAGTGTTGATATCATACAAATCTGACAGCAAATTTTCTTGTGTCATACATGGTCCGTGAAAATCTCACAAAAGACTGCAGGATATTGATTCCTGATGCAGATTTTAATTGGAGACGTCATGGCTTCCTCTCCATTTAAATATACACATGTAGGTCTATGCAAAAAATGGAACAAGCATCTTAGTCTCAATAAATTCAACTGCAACTTAGTCTGAAAGTAGGCTTATTGCAAGACCAACCAATTTAACAAACTGAATATTACATCGATGTCAGTCTTTATGTGAAGGACAGCCATCAGTGGTTTTTTTCACCAAAATATTCGGCCCCATTCCCCCCTCAAAATAGCAGAGCTCCAGATAATTTTTTTGGCCAAGGGGTTTTTACCCCTCAAAATTTAGAGTGAGGGGTAAAATGCAAATTCTGAAAAACTTTAGGGGTAAAATCTGTCAAAAAAGCATTTTGCATTTTTTATAAACAAATTAAACTTATTGTTGTGTTTGTTTGTTTATTTTCTTTTTTTAGAAAAACCTTTACAAATTAAATACTGATTTAATGTGAAACAATACAAAACATGCCATGTAAAGTCAGACTTCCAGAGTATACTGGAACTCAAGTTTAGGATACACAGCAAAATTATCAGGGCTTCCATTTTCAAAATTTGGAAGTCAAAGACTTGATATTGGAAGTCACATTATATAGGTAAAGAAGGAAAGTATTGATTTTTGGAAGTCACAGGCCAATTGAAGGAGTAAAAGACTCCCAAACTTCCACTAGTGGAAGCCCTCAAGTTATTTTATTTTCTAGGAGTCAATATTTTTCTTTCTTTATTTTTGTTGGTATGTACCTTATCATGTACTCCAGTTTGAACAATTATAGTTGAAATTAGAATTAAAGAAACATAAACAAGATTTTTTTATCTTTCCTTAAAAAAAATTATTGGTCTGAGAGAAAATTGTCCGTAACTGTAGACTGGGTACGAAAATATTGAGTACAAAACTGCGGGGTGAATAACATGTTATTTTGTTCCAACAACTAAAGTTAAAGAAATTTTATTAAATATATTTTTGTTTATATTGAGTATGTCAATAGATGCCTAAACAAACTTAATACTGTGTTAACTCCTACGATGATTATCTGGCACAAATTTCATCAATAATTTCACAGGTTGATAGATCTACGGGAGTTACCTCCCTTCTGTATTTCCTGCTACTTTCGTTTTTAACATGCGTTGTTGACAACAGAATTTTTTGTTTTCAATGCAATTAAATGGAAATATACTGTATTTTATGCTCAAAACATTTTCTTTCTACATATCAAATGTTTACACTTCTATTCTTTTACGCATAAATCTTGACATACGAGCGTATTTTCATTTTGTTGTGCGTAACTGTGACGCACGAATTTTGAAAGTGATGCGTATTTTAGATTTTCTATGCGTATTTTACGCTTATACGCACGCTATCTGGAGCTCTGAAATAGTATGTTTTTTCCCCCCTCAAAGCCTAAATTTCCCCCTATATGGCAGCCCGAATTTGCCTGCAATGAATATCTTTTTTTATCCAACTAACTGCCGAAAAATGTTTTCTTTTATGCCAGTAAGAGTTACTGTTAAGCAAGGTTGTTTACAAATCGTTCTCTGGTAGTAAGGGGAGCTACTCCCAGCGTCCAAACAAGTTTAACATGCGACACATCGATATTTTAGATCCAGATATTAAGAAAAAGAGACGTATTTCAAAATTGTGTTGCAAGAGTTGAGCACTCCCCTTTTCCACTGCAAAGAAAACAATATAAAATAAGTAAACAAATACAATTCCCCCTCCTATTGCATTTTTCCCCCTCCAAAGGCACCGACCCCCTTCCCCCAAAAGTGAAAAAAAACACTGGCCATCATCTACGTAATAAAAAGCCCTGGCTCGCAATTTGGTGGGCTAATGTTGTCCAATATATCCGACCTTTCTGGCTTGTTATAATTTTGCTTTGCCACATATTTATCAAAAATATCTCTAAGCATTGCAACGTCATATTTATAGGACTAGGGATAATGTAGGTAATTATACAAATATATTTTATAGTACATTGGGTAAATAATAATGATCATTAAAGAAATTTAATGGTAAGGCTTTAATAAATAGTCAGTGGTATTAAAATTTTTTCTTACTCATCACGAAAACGTATGACAAAATAAGGAACCAGCAAAAATGTCTATCATGTGTGAAATATTAACAATATAACCCACTGTCTGATTAATCTTAAAGTATCGAATAATCTTTTAATGAAGCAAAAAATATTCTATGAATTGAAACAGTTCTGTGAATTTACCAAATGTTTTGTGGTTTTTCTTTTTCAACTCAAAGTTTGCGCCATCTTTGTTGTTTATCTCGGTTCGTTAATTTCCGGCAATGTTCGTCTTCTTCCGTATCGACAAAGAATGCAGACGAATTTCATGTAATGAATAAAATAATACTTGTTGATATTTTCGTATAGTTTGCGATATAAATGGCATTATTTGATGTATAACGATAATAAATATTACATCACGAATCCCTAATTTACAGTACATTTTTGATAAAATGTGTAAACTAGATGGACATACTATAACGTATGTCCCAGAATGGTCAAATAACCGTTGAAACTTTTTCCTATTCATTTTCCTATAGATCGTTGCCTTTCATTGTTAATCTTTGTTTTTTGAATTGTCATTCGTGCAGAAAAGGGTAGGCCTAGAACAAGGTATATATAGATATTTTAATGATTTTATCATTCAAATTGCAAAGTAGACTTCAAATGGGAAATCACCCCCACCCCTGTCACTTCTCAGAGAAAGCACACGGCAGATCAGGGTCAAATCACCCCTAAAATACCAAAGATGATTCGTTGACCTGCCGTGATTTATTCAGATGGGGGATTCTATGAAGGAACAGTTCCTGCATGATATTGCCGGCTCTTTTCCAACTACAAACGCAAAAATAGGACAGCAGATCGATCAACAAGACAAGTCGCAGTCGAATGAGCACAGAACTGGACGGTCTCGATCGGGCGGCCTGCAGAAATGAACTGGAAAAAAAGAAGAAGAATAAAGCAATCTGGACATACCATTATCAATAATTTTGGGGTGAAATGTTAAGCCGATCTAGATTCTCTATGCAGAACTTTTATGAATCCATAAAAAGGAGATCTAAATCAAATCCAGGGAAATCTTAATAAGACACACCGAGGAAAGCTTTAAATACAGATCATTGTTCTGTAACTTCATGTCAGTTACTACGTTACGTTTGCAGGCTTGTAATAAAAAAAAGGCAAAACATATAATAACAGAGAAATTCACATGCACATATATAAGATAACCAGACTCGAATATAACTGAAAATATAGAGGGTTTATAAAAAAAATAATCCCGTGTTGTTTTTTTGTTGTTGTTTTTTTCGCTAGCGCTTTTTTGATTTGCATTAAAAGCACATTATGCCTCAGAAACTAATACATATTTACTTCTAAAGAAAAGGGACACAAGAGTTTTATAATGTTTAAATAATGGTGTTAGAGAATGTTAGATGATTGTTACCTGAAGAAACTAGCAATAAATGTGAAATTAGTTGTCATGAAAGTAGCAAAATGTAAACAAAGTGTTACTATTTTGACTCCCATACAAAATACTAATTCAGTATAACCGTACTAATTGACAAAAAGGCAACATATTAAAAACGTGGTTCAGTAATTAGCCCATGAGTAAATTGGTGAATACTATAAACGTACACAAAAATTAAAAAGCGATTGAGAAATAAAAATAAAATCATTTTTGAAGCATAATTTATTTGGCAAAATTAAGCAATGATAAGGGGAATGACAAGGTCTTTCAAATAGAAAGACACACTTGAGATATCTTAATGAAGTAGCATTGAAAAGCTTTTATAAAATATGTTGACGATGAAAACGTTTTGATAATGAGTGCTCAACATGTTGTCAAAATTGCAGGCATACAGCAGGAAGTTTTTAAACAAATACATTTATGTGACGACACATTAATGTAAGAAGCAATAATTCCTCTAATCTATAATTAAGTATATACGTACATAATATATGTTGAATACAACCATTATATTCAGAAATCACAAGACAGCAAGCAAATCGTCATCAATAGTTGTCCAACAGAAAAAAGAAGGTGAAAGTTGACTGAAGTTAAAAACAAAAGAAACAATTAGTAAAAAGCAGCTTTCTTATGTTATCGAAGGCTGATATCTCGTTTTACTTTATCTTCTTTTTTTTAACTTAGTTGGTTTTCAGAGTTTTCTATCTTTTTATCATCGTACTGAAAACTGCACTTGTCAATGGTGGTTGAAGTCAGTAGAATTCTTGGCAAAATGCAGACTCAGGTCGACACAATATTGCAAAGATTTTATAACATGTCCAGTTTGCTGCCCAAGTTAACTTGTTTTTTGGTATGAACTGGTACTCAGGTGATTAAGTCATCACCAGTAGATATAGGGTAACCCATCATCAAAGGTTTTG